TCTCTTGTGTTTAACATAAGAAAGAAACTCATAAAGGTTTGGAACAAGTGGGAGGGTGAGTAAATGATGACAGAATTTTCATTCTGGAAGTGAACTAACTCCTTTAAAAACAGGTGAACAGATTTAAAAGGCTGAACAGAGAGACAAGTGGAGGGTGTGTGTGTACCTGGTGTGTTCTCAGACTGGAGCTCTGTCTGCCTGTTTGACTCCACATTGGCTGTGATGGTCACACACACACACACACACACACACACACACACACACAAACACAAACACAAACACACATGAGATGATGAGATGAAAATGAGACACAAAAGCATAATATGCACACAAACACAAAAAAGGCTGGATGAAAACACACACACACACACACAAAGTAACAAATAATGAAATGTAATCCATAAAGAACAAACGTCACTGCAAATGCACGCAGCACCTCTCCACACACAAACAGGGAATGACACACACGTCCCGCCAACTAGAATATATGGGTAACACTAATAAGGTCCCATTAGTTAACATTAGTTTATGCCTTAACTAACATTAATAAATACTGTAATACATGTATTGTTCGTTGTTAGTTAATCTTTGTTAATTTTAGCTAATAAAAGTACAACTGTTCATTGTTAGGTCATGTTAGCTCAGGTCCATTAAATGACACAATGATACAGATTAGGGGTGGGTGATATGGCAAAAAATACCATATTATGATTTTTTCAGGAAAACCACAATTCAAGATTTTATCACGATTCTTTGTCAAGTTGGTTTAACTATTTTGCAAGTTGTACAGCTAAACTAATTTCCCTATTTTAAAAACAAAGCCTTACAAAGTGTAAAATAAAAAAGAATGGCAGACATTTAGGCCAAAGATAAAAAAATCTGTCATTATTTTATCTTTGTTATTAAAAATAACAAGAACTTGAATGAATAAATATAAAAATAAATACTATATACACTTCACTGTATAAATTATACATAGATTCTTATTAAAACAACTGTATTAAAGTTCCTCAGTCTAAAGCAGTGAGTGATTTTTTCTCTTTGAGTTTTGTTTTATTAACATTAAAGGGATAGTTCGCCCAAAAATGACAATTCTGTTATCATTTACTCACTCTCAAGTTGTTTTAAACCTGAATGAGTTTCTTTCTTCTGTTCAACATAAAAGTTATTTTAAAGAATGTGGGTAACCAAACAGTTGCTGGTCCCCAGTGATTACCAGCAACTGTTTGGTTACCTACATTCTTCAAAATATCTTCTTTTGAGTTCAGCAAAAAAAATAAATTAATAAAGGGTTGGGACAACATGAGAGTGAGTAAATAATGACAGGGTTTTAATTTTTGGGTGAACTTTCCCTTTAATGACAAGCGACATCATGTTTAGTACTATTAGTCTGCTGTCACTTTAAAACCTGCACACATCTAATATACAAGCACACATCTGTTTTACTTTCACTTTAGACATAAGCAGCTGTGTTTATATGTAAACCCAGTATGTTTTTGACAGTATTAGCACAATCAGAAGTGAAAGATAACTTAGTCCAGTAATCAGGCACTGTTTGACAGGCTTTTTAGTGTGTGCTCTCAGAAAAAGTGCATGTAAGAACAGCACACGAATGAAACGTTTAACCGGCAAGGCTTTAAAGCACATGCAAATAATGTACTTTTGTGATTGCGAACAAGTGCAGTGTCCTGTGAGTGTAAATCTACCGCTGAGTTAACATTTGATGCGAGTGTATGTCGCGTTGTACAGTATATTGAGACGGAGGCGCGAGAACTGCAACTGATAGAATGTGCGCTGTAGCGCGATACTATGATATTTCTTCAAAAGCAGATCGTGGAGACATTTTAATCATTCACGATCAAAAATCATATTATCGTACACCCCTAATACAGATACAATTTTGATAATATATTAGTAAATGTTGAAATTAACATTAACTAAGATTAATAAATGCTTTAGAAGTCATTTTTATTGTTAGTTCATGTTAACTAATGTAGTTAACAAACGGAACCTTATTGTAATATATATGGTAATATTTTGTAATCTAATCACTGGACTTTTATGTGCTTATTGATACAACACTAGAAGTCCATCATTCCTATCTCATTTCCTGTTCCTGTGTGGAGGAAGCGCCTCTGAGCTCTTACTCACAGCTCTCTGGCTGTGCTGTTTCCATGGTAATGTTACTATGTTTACCAGCCTCAGTCCGAGGTTGTGCTTGATTGACAGCCAAGGTCGGTGGGTCACAATCTGTGAACTTTACACCCTCTGACCCTGCTGCCTTGAGAGCAGCTGACAGGAGAGGAAATCTGATTATGAACTGAGACCCCAGAGACCGTTTTTCAAGACGTTTAAAAAAATACATGGAAGCAAAAACAGCACTTGAATGAACATAGAAACTGTAAAACTCTAACTTAAAAATATTTAAAAATGCTACTAAACTCCTGACAAAGGCCGTTAAGAACATACTGTGGACTTCGTTTCCAGGTCGCAACATCAACAAACTCCTCTGGCAAGGCAGAAGACTTACCTGGAGTGATTTCAGGTGGCCGCTTGGGTTTGACAATAAGTTTGGCTCCACCCCCAAACACGGCTGCCCACATGCGGTTGTTGAGGGGATGAGCAGCCAGCCGGAAGAGCTCGTTTCCAGAATGTGTGCCAAGACCGTGAATCAGCAGACTGAGATACACAGCCACCACTGCCTCACACAACATGACGTTCAGATGAATTTGATCATCACCCTGAGCACACGCCAGCAGACTGATCAGAGACGACACACCTGAGACAGAGAAAACATACACAATGAGCCTCCATCCAATCATATCTTCTATAAATTCATTCAGTCCTACATCAGTCTATTTCTCCATCCATCCGTCCATCTGTCAACCCATCCATCCTCTCCTTACCTGTTCATCCAACCAGTCTCTCTCCTCCATCTATCCATTCATCCAGCCATCTGTTACTATGTCCACCTATCTTTTTGTCAATCCATTCAATCTCTCCTCCATTTACCTGTCCATCCATCCATCCATTAATCCTTTCATCCACCCATCCAATCTCACAGTCATCTATGTCCTTCAGTCCATTCATCCATTAATCCATCCATCCTCTCTCTCTCTCTCTATATATATATATATATATATCTTTATTCATCCATCCAATCTCCACATCATCTACCTGACCATTCTGTTTATCAATCTGTCCCTCTGTCCAGTCTTTTGTGATCTTTCTGACTGATCTTCCTTCCTTCCATCATTATCCTTTAACTTCCATATTGTGAAACAGGATTATTAGCCTATTCCATATTACTGTGTAATATTATGTTTCACCATCAGGGACTTTATTAATAAAGGAACCAAACTGGGTCTTTGCAGATGTTACTTTCCTCTCCACATAGAATGACTCATCACTAGATGAGGATGAGTCTGAATGTGCTATTTCCCTGCATGTGTTCCGTGGAGTCTGATCTGATGTGTGTTACCTGGCCACTGTGCAGGGGCAGAGGTGGGCGTTGCATGTTCCTCGATGCTCTCGGTGCGAAGTCTACGCCTGTCGCTCAGTAACAGCCCCTGATAGACCATCCCTGTGAACTGATTGGTCTCCGACGGACTGCTAAACACACACACACACACACATACACACAAGAACAGGTGAGCATGAGTCAGTAACTGTGTGTATATGTGTGTAAGAATTAACAGAATGGTATGCTGTAGACAGTAGTCAGACAATCTAATCAGCTACAACACCTTTAGAGGCATTTTAAGATGAACAATCATCAGTAGTGGCATGTTTGTACCTGTAGCTGTGGCTGTCACACAGCGATTGGTAGATACAAGCTGATAGAGAAGCAGCGAGTGTGTGTAAAGCATTCACCTGAAATACACATGCACATATTAGCAGAAGCACACACACACACACACACACACACACACAGAGTCTTCATACAATCTTTTTATGTGTGAGGGAGTCTGTGCATTTCTCACCCGGTCGTCCAGTATGTTTGGGTGTGGTGGAGCCTCCATCTGGACAATGGTGTAGAGGACATCATGTATGTGGTTTCTGAGATGCAGGACAGGGTTGGCGATGACAGTCTTGGTGGGGGCGATGCTGGCCGACAGCAGGGGCAGAGTGGTGGGGAGGGGGAGTGGCGATTGAAGCTGCTTCACTGTCATTTCCTGAGGACACACAACCAACAAATAACGTGAGAACACACTCAACCAACCAACCGCTTGCGTGAGAGCACAATATAAATCAATCAACACATTGAACCATCATGTGAGGACGCACTTGCTGTGATTCCTGCAGCAGAAAGAGTAGCTCCATCCTGACAGAAGTCACTCCTCCACCCTTGGCTCCGTGTAGACTGCAGTAACTGAGGAAGACTCTGAGCAGAGCCTGATTCTCTCTCAGCCAGGCTTTCCTCCGCTCTGCATGTAGCTGCTTGGCCTGCAGACGCCGTCGCTCCATCTGATGACGTTCGTATGCACCTGCTTCACCACGAATCCGTGAGTCTTCCAGGTCCAGAGATCCATCATCTCCCCATTTCTCCAGCTGACCTGCAGCAGCTTTCCCCTCAAACTGAAATACACACGCACACATGCACACACACACACACACACACACACACAGAGAGAGAGAGAGAGAGAGAGAGAATATCCAGAACAGATCAGGAATGGCCAACATATTATATGTTTAGTAAGTGTTGGATAATACTTAGCTGGAAATATACAACTAATCAACATCATGGATTTTGCGATCACTTTAATGTACTTCTAAGCAATTCAGTTTCCTAGACTTTTGGTACACTAGTCTTGCTCTTCCTTGCATATTTTAATTATGTCTTGGAGTTCAAATTTTAACAGTTTAATTTATTTTCATGATTCAGTTCTTTTGAACTGTCCATTTCAATGAATCGCTCACAACATAATTCATCACACACAGACTTCTCTGTGTGGTATTTTACATTATTTAAATGTTTAGTGCATACTGTTTATTACTACATATTGTTACTTTGCATATAAATTAACTAAATATTATTCCTTGTGTTCATTTAGTGAAAATTAGGGAAATTATTTTAAACTAGCTTTCTACTGTATTTTATATTTTGCATTTAACATCGTCTTCAACTGCTGTTCCTCTGAAAAAAAAATCTATTAAAGTTGTGATGAAATTGAAGTAGCAACAGATGTTTTCTTCTGTATTGTAACATACATCTGAGTGAAAACTATCGCAAAAATAAAAAATGTAAAGCAGGGACTTGGTTTTATGTATATGTATGTTTAAGCAGACTAAATGATAGGAGAAGTCCTGCATAAATCACCAGAGACTCATTTTCACTGGAAGGTGCAGTTATGATATTTTCAATAAGCATTAAGTCAAAATGAAACATATGCATAGATCAACAGTTTAAAATAAGATCTATAACATTAATTTCGAAAATATATAGAGTGAATTTTCATTTCATGTACATTTTTAAATATTATGATATACTATACACTGTCAAAATGTGGAACAATACTGAGATCGACCATCTCATGGCATATAGTGGTTCTTATATAGTACAGCACACCGTATAGTGGTTTATCAAAATCCCAATCAAGGTTCATTCTGAGATCGAAATCTTGCAATGAGATGGTGAGCATATACCTTATAGTTGCAGATGTGGTGCATGGCCTCGATTTCCTTCTCCAGCCAGTTGTAGAGCTGAAATCGCAGTTTGCCACCATCTACCTCATATCCTGTTGCCAGCGTCCGCAGCTCCGTCATGAGGATCTTCAAACAGGCTCGGAACTTCAACTGTTCGGCGATCACGTCCACCTCTGACTCACCCGTTGAGTCTTCACGCTGCAGGGCTGCTGATTTGGATGGCTTTTTGGCCTCCTCATCCTCCACCTCTGGTTTCTTCATGGTCAGCCCACCCTCTTCATCCTCATCTTCTTCCTTATCAAAACCCCAATCCAACTGTAGACCTTCATCCTCCATTTTAACCATCGGTTGACTCCAGTCCAGCCCGGTGGAGGACTCTGCTCCCCAGGCCTGACTGGGGACGCCAGGAGCTCCCCAGTCGAGATCTGAAGCCTTTCCTCCGTTCTCCTGTGGCTGGGGGGCACTGACGTTGGCCACAGATGAGCCCTTACTCAGAGAAGATGCTTTCTTAGTGACTTTAGGGATTTTGGATAAGACCTCAAGGGCCAGGAGTGGGCAGCCCACCTTAAAGTGAGCGTTAGCGGTGGTGAAGAAGAGTTTCCGCTCTATCAGGTTTATTTCGTCTGCGCAGTTGCGTTCTGATGTTATACCAACTGCAACCCTAGATGCTTCAGGCTTGGCAAAATGTCGTCTAATAATCAGAGGGTGTGCGCGCAAGTAGTTATAGAAACTAAAGACGACAGGATTGCAAGATTTCACCAGAACATCTGAAAAAAAAAAAATGAAAAAAAAGAAACGTTCTGTCTCAAACACTAATTTACTCACTAGTTGATGGGTGTTACATGATTAGTGGTGCATGTTGTGATTACTGCTGTTAATATTTTAAGTACATGTTGTGATTACTGCTGTTATTATTTTAAGCATTAATTGGTAGCTATCATATTGCTGTTTTATTAAAGCAATCAAATCAGTTGCTGTAACACAGTGACTCTTTACCAGGGTTCTTATCATCCTCTTTGTAAATCTGCTCCAGCAGTGTGTCCAGGGCTCTGGTGTAGTCCTTCATGATCCAGTACGCAATGCTCCTCAGGAATGGGTCAGGGTGCAGTTTGGTACAGGAGAAGCCACTTCCATCTCTGTTGCAGCCGAGAACCTTCTCGTACAGGATACCCTGGCAGGTGGAGGAACTCTCATAATCAGCCTCGTAAAGACGAGCAACAATCATCGCAAGCTGGATGTCCTCCATTTTCTCCAGACAAACCTACCAGAGAGACAGACCAACTTGTCAAGAACATACACAGGTTGACATGGCTGTCAATAGATTACATTTTTTAATCGGATTAATCACACCCTTTTTCTGTGATTAATCACGATTAATCACACAATTAATTTACTATATCCAGCAAAGTAAACCAAAAGATTGAAAGGTGATTCTCACAAATCTCTATTTTCTACAAGCTCTTTTCAAGATAAATTTACATGTCTTTCCAAAAAAGGACACTTGGAAACTCCAAAGGTACACCAAAGAACCAAATGATATAAGGAGTCCACATAAATTATACATTTATGCACACCAAAGCACACATGAAAGAAAAAAATCTGAATTGTATAATATGTGTCAACAGCAAAGAGCTTGTTTACATTTTAGATGAGTCATAGACTGCATGTATCTCCTACAGAACACAGATCCATTCAGAATAACTAAACACAGCAACATACACATGACAAATCAAAACATTATCGTGAATGTGTGTGGAAACAACGTGAATGTACGGAAATGTCTGTGCCTGTGCATAAATACAATGTGCAATCGTCAAGAGCACTCATACACGCATTAATATAACGGACTCATGCGTGCTTACTTGTACGACTTCTGTACACCACCGCAATCGTCTTTACCTTGACTGCAATCTTCATTCATTAAAACTTTACTAGCATAACTAGCTGGTTATCCAGCCGAGAAACGTAGTTTGCGTATCATCTGGCCATACAGCGGTGGGATGTTTTCAGTCTGTATTTCACAATGCATGTGTGAGGGCTCGCGCACTTCAGAGACAATCACAGAATATGACAGAGCTTGTGTTTTAAAGCAAAACACACTGGAATAATTCACTGAAAATGCAATGCGAGTCCGTATTCTCTCTGCCATCTATGATGTAATCAGCCTGGTTTTCTTTACAATAGTGCTGTTTTGGACCGATTGTTTGAATGCATTCGCTAGCTGGATCATTGGACTGAAAACTTCCCAGAGTTTAGCGGCTTAAAATGATCTGATCAGAGAAGCAAATTTGGTTTAAAGGGTTAGAATAGAAATTGTGCTTTAGTAATTTTGCATTAAACTATTTTAAGGTATTAAGGATTGTAAAATTAATTGCATGAGTTAATACATTAACGTTGACAGCCCTAATTTCACTCCAAAATTAAGATTACTGAAAATAATGAAACATTTTTTTTTTACATTGTGACATTACATTAATTACAATTAAGCAAAAAAAAAAAAAAAAAAAAAAAAAAAAAAAAAATATAAAGGTGAAGCCCCGCCCACTATCCCCGCCCCCTACTGTCCTTTTTTTGGAAAACTAAAATATGGTCGCCCTATTATAAATATACTTAATTATTATGAAAATACCAGAGATGGCTTAAATAAGCCTTTAATCTATACTGATTTAAACATAATTATTGTATTTTTCAACTCGGAAACATCACTGTATAAGTGGAAATCTAACGAGAATCACCATAAAATGATAATATAAATTGAAATAATGACAATTCTTTAAAAACGTAAATGCTATACTACTCTATTTGAAGGGAAAACATGGAACATCATAAAAGTAAATTATATATATATAATATATTTTACCTTTTTAAAATGGTATCAGGCTTTTTTTATTTATTCATTTTATTTATTGTTTGCACAATTATATGTGACTTTTCATTCATCTATTCAAAATAAAAACAGACTAAAAGCAGAAGCAAAGCTCATTTATATTCTTAATATAGCTCCACACATCTCATTTTAACAACCTATATACTGACGTAATCTCTCATGAGTAGTGTTATCACTGTGTTTTGACTGTGTGCTGTCAGACATCCAGCCCAAGGTAAATTACAGCTGTCATATGTCCATCAGGGGAGTTTATCTGTGATGTTTAGACTAAACTGAACCACTCAGGGCTGTGATACCACACTCCACACTTCACAGACGACCACACGCTCTATGACGTCACAACCAAACCAAACTCTGCAGACTCCACATCTAAGAGATCAACAACAGACACTTTCTATATTTTCCTGGGATTGAATTTCAGCACAGTTAAAATAGGACAGTGCAGACCTCAATTGCGTCTTTCAGGGAGCCAGCGAGCAGGAAAAATGCAGCTGACTGCTCAAAGCGCTGTTTGCCCAGGAGAGAGAAGGCGTTCTTTAAAGCCGCCTTCCTCCAGCGGTCCTCAGTGAAGTTATGGCTGAAAAACTGGGTCATCTTCTCATCATGTTGAGACCTACACAGAAATCAATACATTAATAAACAGGCAGAAAGCCCACAGCAACACAGCATCAAGAGATATAGCACACTGCATATGAGATGCAGCTTTATGAAGGTAACACTATGAATAAGAGTCAGTGAGTTTTGAAGTACCTAAAGAGACCCCAGAGAACAGCCTTCTTCTTCATGGCCAGATAGAAGAGAGCTGCATCCAGCGGATCATTATGCCTCTGAAATGCTGCTTTGGCTACCTAATGCAAAGAGGCAGAGATGTAGTTTTTATTTATGAACTGTAATATCACCATTGCCATACAGTATGTACTCAAAAGACCTGTTTACACCAAGAAAGATAACTATAATTATAATTATATTAGCATCTACACCAATGGAAGACAAGTTTTGGTTTATTCTAAATGCCACTTTTAATGCTCAAGCTCTTTAAAGCAGGATGGACTCTGATTGGCTGTCATTCTTTTTATCATTTATCAGCTGGATAAAATCGTTCTGAAAGTGATTCCAACAATCATTCTGGGCCGTTATTGTTATAGTTCAGGTTCGATTCTTTTAAACTTAGAATGATTTTTAAAACGATATTGTTACCGTTCTTGGTGTGAACGGGTCTAATATTAACTGAATTATAAATAAATAAATAAATAAATAAATAAAATTAGATTACATTTCAACTGAAGTGAAACTGTATAGAAATGCAATGAACAAAATTGAACTGAATTAAAGTCAACTGAAATTTCAAATGAACTGAAATTAAATGAATTAAAGTGAACTGAAACTGAACTTGAAATGGAGCAGACACTGAACTGATTAGAAATGTAATGACATTTAAACTAAACGTAACTGAAACTAACTGAACTGCACATAACTAAAATTGTAATGAATTAGAAATGAATTTAATTTTATGGAGAGTGAAAATGAAAATGAAAAAGATCACCAGACTTTGAATATTTTGAAGTCAGGAATCAAAATAATTAAACAGTGGTTAATTAAATTCTCCTTCGGGAAACTTTCTTGAAACTTCCTTTGTTGTTTCTAATCCTATCAGCCAATAATAGTCCTTTGACTATTATTGACTTTATGATCACTATTGGTTAATACCAGTGGTTCCTAACCATTTTCCTTTCATAAAAATTATGACTGTCCCATTTAAAAAAATAAATAAATAAATAAAAATAAAAACATTCAAATGAGAGTGAGAATCAGATGTGCTTGATTTGAGAGATTCAGTGGTGTGAAAAAGTTTTTGCCCCCTTCCTGTTTTTTTCATTGTATACAAAATGTTTATGTTTGGGGCACCTTCAGGAACATTTTGGAAAATACTGGTTTCTTATTTGTAAATAACGCTGTGTGAGAGCAAGAATGCTTTAGTGGTCTCACCTTCTCCACAATCCGCCTCAGTGTGTTAATGTTTCTGACCCACCAACCGGCGCCCACCGCCCTGAGCTCAGACCACTGCGGATCTCCTCGCTGCATGGCAGGAATCATGTTCAGCATCTCCTCCTCAGCTTCTGAGTGGAACGCCCACGCAAAGTGACATGTGGACACACCTGGACACACAAACACAGTATAAAGGCAGATTCACACCAAGACCAGAGATATACATGAGGTTTTCAATCCTTAATAACAAGTGAATGCAGCACTTAGGACAAGCAAGCAAAAAAAAAAAATCTAGATGTCAACATTAAATATACACACACACGTCTGGTTTGCTATCCTTGTGGGGACTCTCTATATGCGTAATGGTTTATCTACTGTACAGACCGTATATTCTATCGCCCTACACCAACCCTACCCCTAAACCTACCCCTCACAGGAAACTTTCTGCATTTTTGGATTTTCTAAAAACTTCATTCTGTGTGATTTATTAGCTTGTTTACCCCTGGGGACCTCAATTTAAGTCCCCACCGTGACACGAGTACCCATGAGTCTGTGTGTATTCAGGTTTAAGACCCCACCAGAATAGAACAACAGGTACACATGTGCACGCGCACACACACACACACACACACACACACACACAAACACACAAACTTCTTAGACTCAAAATTCAGAATTTGAAACCTCAATTTGTGTTTTTAGGGCTGTCAAAATAAATGCTTTAATGTGTGATTAATTAAATATTTAACAGAGATAATCGTACACTGTTTTCAACCGTTTCATTCTTCATACAGTGATTTCTAAATATCAAAATATCCTATAATCCTACTACAGTTTTTAGTGTAACAGAGATATTTAGACATAGCACGTGCACATATATATATATATATATATATATATATATATATATATATATATCCATCAAGAATTGTTGGATGATAAAACGTGCCCCGTTACATACAAGAGCCAGACTGAATGTGAGAGGTCACTAAAACCAAATAATCAAATAGTAGGGATGCTCCGATCAGGATTTTTGCTGCCGATACTGAGTACCGATTTTTTGTCATGGTGATCGGCCGATACCGATGCCGATTCTGATGCTTCAAGCTTTATATAGACGGTTTCATCGGGTGCACGCGCCTGGCCCGAAGTTAACTTCCGGTCTGTGTTTGTTTATCAGTCTGGCTATGGCGCCGGCTACAAACGCAGTTAAAGTTAAGCTGATGATTAGACTGATGTTGGGCTCAGGTGGTTGTACTGTGGGATGTGTTTCCCATGCATTTATATATTTGTGGCGCTCGCCACAATATCAAAACCATTTTCATATTTTGCTTTTCCTATATCCACGGGCGCTGCAGATAATCCGCGGTCGGGTAATAAAAATGCATTCTGATTATTTGCGGGTGGGTCGCGGGTGGATAAAATAAATCATAAATAATGCAAATATTAACTACACTTTTTTTTAATACATTTTTTTCATGAGGCAGACGATTTTGTGTGTGTGTGTGTGTGTGTGTTCGTTCGCCTGATCGGGAAGTTGCAGTGACAGAAACGGTGACATTCCAGATAAAGTTTGAAAGGAGTAAAGCCTGTGTTAATGCTATTGAGTAGGCTAATATGGCCAAAGAAGATATTTTGTTTTGTAAATAAATGTTCATTTAAAAGCAGCCCACGATGAGCGTGTTATGTTACCATTATCCCTTACGGCTCCGACGAGGTTTTGTTCAGTCCTCCACGCTGTGACAACTCACAAAATACTATTTTTAGCCAAGCAGCGCGGATAGCCGCTTCTAAAACATGCCGCGGCTAGCTGATATAAACACAAGCATAGAGAGGCCGCGATCCCGTGGAGCCGTAACGTGCCACAGACGCGTTCAGTGAGGCACAGATCAGCTCTAACGTCACTGAATCTGCTGTTAAAAAATGAACCCTCCATTCATCATATCATCATGCAAAACATACACAACAAATAGCGAATTTTTCATTGTTTCTCGAAACGTCATTGCATTTCCACACTGGCGATTTATGTCCCCACGCATCATGTACGTCGTCAAGCGTTAACATCATCAAATTGCGATCGGTTCGTGAGATCGGCTAAGTGTAGTGAGTACCGATCGAGTCATAAAATGTGATTATCGGCCGATACCGATCTCTGGCCGATCGATCGGAGCATCCTTAGTATATATATCACTCACTTTTGTGAGATACTGTATATATATATATATATATATATAGAGTATCTCACAAAAGTGAGAGATATA